GTATAAAATCAATTTTTTCCACATCCTACATGTATTTGTTAAATATAAACAATGTTTGTAAATCCCAGGCCCTGAAGATGATCTCAATAAAGATCGAAACGTTGGCACGATAAAGAAAATGTTTTTCTGAAAACTACATCACACCAGACCGCATCTCACGATTTCTGAATAATGAATAAATAATGATGACTGAAGATGTTTGAAATAACAAAATCAGGATGATCGAGAGCGACCAAACTACAAATATGTACATTTGTGAGTTTGGTTGAAAGCTGTATGGTTCGGTCGTTTCCGGTCAATCTATACCTGTCTGGTTTGGGTTTTCTGACGCATTTCGGCATCTTTTGGTCGGTCTCTCTGTTATTTTTTTAGTACTGGTGTTTTTTTTCGTACATTCAGGGTTTGTTCAGTCGGCTCCTTTGATGATCAGTCTGGGTCTTAACATTGTTTCTTCCACTCAATTATTTGGTTCTTAAATTACGTTGTGTACTGCTTTAAATTACATGTTGAGTTGTGTGTTTATAAGTTTTTTTCTTTGGCTTCGTACTTTCGTACATCTAGCTATTCTACATTAATGAGTCTTCCTCATTCTAAATTTCAACAAAGCTCCATTTTTCGTTATTTTCCTCGTGGAGCAAAGTACTACTGGATACAGTTAAATGCTGAAACGCTCCTTACATACTAAACCAGCGAAGACAGCAGGGCCAGGATGATCCAAAACGACCAAACTACATACAATTACTACAATTGCAAGTTTGCTTGTAGCTGTAGGGTTGTTCGGTAGTTTCCGGTTCGCCTATCCAGCTTTTGACCATCTGATGCATTTCGGCATTTGAACATATTTGGTGGTCGATCTGCCTGTTATTTTTCTTAGTTGTGTTTTTATACATTCAGCGTTTGTCCAGTCGGCGCCTTTGAGGGATTAGTCTGGGTCTTTTCTTTGTTTCTTCCGGCGGATTATTTGGTTCTTAAATCACTTTTTATGTCGTTTTTAAATTATGTGTTTATGAGTTTTCATCGTCCTTTTCTTCTTGGAGCAAGTTCCACAGGATATGTCGAAATGCCGAAATACTTCTGACAGACCAGAGAAGCGAGAATAGGCGGACTATGACGACTGGAAACGATATAAATAATGGAGGGAATTAGTCTAGAAATTTTGTTTTAAACTTTGATTATCTCCTCTTTGGTATAATTTATGGTACATTAATTACAGTCTAGTGTAAAAGTCATTTAATAAATGAATAAACTAATAAACATACAATAGATGACATGGAAATGATATCATTGTGGGCCTCCTTGTAGTGTTCTGTTGGATCATTATGTCGATAATGAACCGAATTTGTTTTTTAGCTTAGTTCCTTTTTAGATTTAATATTGAACCTATATTGATTAAGGACAAATAAATATTGTCTTTTCTCGAGACATTTTTTTTAAAGTAGTGTTATTGCACTTGACCTTATATCTCTTAATCTAAAACCGATTTTTCTATACAAAGGAGTTCCTGAAGCCCGGTCTTACTTAATAGTGAATTGAATGGAAAGAGGATTTAGGGGTTGTATTAATACCCTTTTCAACAAACCTCTCACAGATAAACTCAGATATTATCGCGATAGCCGGGTTTATCTACCATGCCGGTTGAGAGATATTGACTTAAACAAGCGTTCACTGTCCAAAATTAGCTCGTTATAAACTCTCCAGGCCGTAAGAAACGGTTTAAGTTCTTTACTTCCCCTTTTTTTATTTTATTTATCCATTCACATCTCATTTGAGAGGCCGTTTTAATTTTTTGTGTCCAAACACACTTGGAATCAAAGAGAATCCCCCACTTTTAAGTCAACACATGTGGACCTACTGCGGATGATCGAAAATAGTGTGAGACCTACCCTTCGGAAATCGTTTCCCTTGAAGGAGGAGACATTATTTTTAAACCATAATAAAACCCCTGGGTTATTTACCCGCCTGGCCTACTAATTTTCAAATATTACGAATTGCTGGAAATTAATTTCTTAAATCTCAAATGTTGGTTATTTTATGAACTAAACACCAATTTTTTTTATGCAATAAATTGGTGTTTAGTTAAAAAAAAAGTTCATTATTTTAAAATCATAATAAAACCCCTGGATTTATTTGTCCACACGCCTGGCCTACTAATTTTCAAATATTATGAATTGCTGAAAAATTAATTTTTTAAACCTCAAATGTTGGTTATTTTATGAACTTAATACCAATTTCTTTTTATGCAATAAATTGGTGTATTTAGTTAAAAAAAATTCATTATTTTTAAATCATAATAAAACCACCGGGTTTATTTACCCATACGCCTGGCCTACTAATTTTCAAATATTATGAATTGCTGAAAAATTAATTTATTAAATCTCAAATGTTCAGTAAATAACCAGATTCTAGATTTAAAATATTTTTACCGTCAAATTAAACTACAATTGATATATAAAAAAATAAAATACGAGTTAATTTCTTGTTAGAATATTAAAACGATTTTTTTCGGCGGTCCCTGGATTATTGATCATATCTACCCCTAATGATCACTATTGATCAAACTATCAAATCGTTTCTAGTTTGGAAGTGGATTTTAATTTCTTCAGAACATTTCTAGAACGTGTTTCAATATACGTTATTTTTACAACAAAATAAATAACAAAGAGGCTGATAATATAATACTCAAACATTCCAAATATTTTATAAAACCAATAACAATTTTTTTGTAAGAATATTGTTCTTCAAACTGATAACCAGCTACTCGCAAATGGTAAAACATTAAATAAAAAACACTAATAGAACAATACTAAATTAAAAATTACAATTGTTTCGCAAGTCGATGAACTCTTGTTTGAAGACAAGATAACACAGAAGATAAAAAGGTCTTCACTTGTCTTGGTTTGTAACAATACTGCAAAACGGTTGTAAACTATAATCATTTATGAACAAAGTTAAGCAAATTGTTCGTTTGGTTGTACAAATTCTAGGGAAATTTAAGAATGGGATAGTTGATAAACTAACTTCATTGCATTATTGCTGTTTTAATTTCAGGTTTTTTTTTGTGAATTGAGTTATCTTTCATTCTAAGTGATTGAGTTCCATTTCCTCGTTGTCTAACTTGATAATACCTAACTGACCGAGACTGATTAAATGAACCTCCATCGTTCATTCATCTCATTTATACATCCTTAGGTCTTTTTTCCTTTCAAATTTGTACTGCCCAAAAATTTACTATTTATTTATTTTAGTAATGAAGATATATAGGTTTAAAAAACAAAACAAAAAAGCTGAGAGTATTACATATTTCTGTTGACAAACTATTGAAATTGAAGGATATGTTATAGCATAACACTCTTTTTTAGCTGACTGACTTTGCAGACTAATTGTTAAAATAAAATAATATCTTTAGTCCCCAATTTAATTTATTATAAGCAAATGTACTAATATTATTGATTAACTAAAATATTGAAGCAGGAAAATTTTCAACATTTTAATTAACAATGGTTTGTTAAACTTAAATGAGAAAAAATTCAGATTATTTTTATTAATGAATTATTGAGGAGTAAAGGAGTTTAAAGTGAGAAGAAACCACCCAAACATCTTCTGGGGCAATTTATTAGGAGAGAAGCACTAAACTTATTGTACAAACTAAATCTTCCTTTTTGTTGTTTGATTCATGAAAGGTATTTTTGAACTCAGCTAGAAATCTCTCTCTCTCTCTCTTTCTCACTCTCACTTTCTCTCTCTTTATTTCTTTCTTATTTATTTTCTTTCTCTCCTCCATCCTCCATTCTTATCTGCCTTATACTCCCTCTGTTTTCTATATCTCATTTTCCTTAGAGAACTATGACATTGAGTCTATTTTTCATTATCTATTTTATATGAGTAATCTTCCAGCCTCAGATTTTTTTTAGTACTGAATTAGTTTCAGTAGTACCAAATGCCATGTGAAGTCTTCCATGCAGATTCTAGTCCTTGTTCTTTGGTCAGGTGAACAAACCATAGCCCTTGAACGTCTATAATTATTCATTAGGGTTCAACTACTCCTTTGCTAGTGTGGTTGAGGAGTCAGACCAGTTTATAATCATTATCTTTAAAACAAGCTGAGGGGCATGCCATACCCTCATGGATATACTAATTAAAATTTCTTATAAACCTAGATTAAAGTTAACGGTTCTGAAATAGAAGTGTTCATTATATGTAGTTGTAATAAGTGCATGCAAGCAATATTTGAGTATTTTTTGTTCAAGTTAATAAATTTAATAAAAAGGATTTTTTATGAATTAGGTGATATTCAGGTCATAGGGATTGAGCCCATTTCCTCATTACTTCAGTTGACAATATTAAACTGAGACTCCTAAAGTGAACCTTTCACTGTTCCTTCACCTAAATATTCAATCCTCAGGTTTTGTTATATAAACTGAAATATCAAACAAAAACAAACAATTTAAATTCACAGTTTTTACAGTAACAATTTTAACAATGTAGGAATACAATAAATTAAAATGCATAGTTATAGTAGTTACAGTTTCATGGCAATAATCTAATAGCATTTCAACTGATGTTTCAAGTAGTATGTGTATATATGCAGTTGTATTAAAAAAAAAATAAATAAAAAAATAAATAAAAATAGGGGTATATTATTAAAGTGTTGGCCTATGCCAAATAGGTCAGATCCTTGAACTCTTTGTGTCTTATTAAAACGTTTTGTCTGGATAATATAATTCATCCATGAGTTTTAATTAGTATGTTGTCATATATATATTTAACATGTAGAATTTTTTAATTAAATGGGTTACCATTTATAAAACACATTGTAATGTTGAATCATCAAATTTATTAATTACAATTATGGTTTAATAATATTATCACCAATCTTTGACCTCATTAAGATGTAAATTGGGAGGTCGTTACTGTCGGCTATTAAAATTCTTCAGTATTTTTTATACACACTACTTAAATAATGTATTTATTTTTTTAGTTTATTTAAAATGTATTTTTAGGTTAAACGATGGCAAGATGAATTAGTTGAAGAAGTAAAAAGAACGTCAGAACTCTCATTTTCTAGAGATTCGGTTAATTCAAGGCCGAAGTCGAGATACACTCATCACACGCCAACGCCTTCAGAAGGTACATTGAATTCCAGAGTCTTGATATCGACACCTTGTCAAACAAAAATAGGCAATCATTCGATAAAAGTCTTGTCAACAAAATCTGTTGTGCCATCGAGGCGACAAAAGGATGGAAGTATCAGCCAAAAACTTCGACAGTTGCATAATGAGTAAGTTATACATTCTAGTATTGTTGATTTTAAACTAATAATATTAATAATTTATTTAATTATTACACAGATCTTGTGGCGAGTATCCCCAAAAGAGGTACTTTTCTGCTAGCTGTCCCAATTCTTCGAGTGATGATTCAGGAGATGAATCTCCAGTTAATTATCACGGATCAAATAGATGGTCGGAGAGGGATAAACAGAGAGTAGACGATAGATTGGGAGTACCAACCCATCGGCATTCGTCCTGTGGACAAGAACACTCAGGATTTACCTATAATTCCGTTGGATCCTATAACTGTCGGAATCGAAAGGTAAATTATTTTTTAATATTTTTTTCTTTTAAAAGTTTTAACTTATAACTACCTTTAGTTGGAAATGGAGCAAAAGATTAGGCATGGAATGAATAAAATTGCGAATTTTGACCGGGAGAGAATTACGGAGGATTCTTCGATGCCTTTTGAGTGCTGGAAAGAAACCCTGAGGCCGAAAACTGTTCATGGCTTTAGTTCGACTATATTCGGAACAAAGGTGAGGTGATGACATGAAATTTGCCATATGTCCTTTCCATAACATTAATGTTTTTATTGGAAGTGAATGATCAAAATACTTTGTATTAAAAAAAACACCTACTTATTAAACTGATTTTGTAATGCAAGTGCTGTAAGAAATTATTATAACTAATTATACCCATGAAATAGGGAGGAAAGAAGGGAATCCCCATGAATTTTAAATTTTAATATTATTAGATTACTTACTAAATTATTTTGAAAAATGTAATTCAAATACATAAATAAACTGACATAGAAATCTCAATTTTGTATGGCTACTTGTGATTTTTTCTTTATCATAAATAAAATCATTAATTATATTTTTATTTATATATTTACAAAATGATTAAGTTGTAAATACTTTTTATTGGTAGTGAATAAGTAATTGGCAATAGGAGTGGACTATAAATTTTTTTATTATTATTATTATTATTATTATTAATTTTTAAGGGCGTTTTAACGGCTAAGGTCATTTCACGCCCTAACATCCAAACCTTCTATCTTAGGTTGCTATATCTCTTCTGAGTGCTATAAAGCTCTGACTCCAAACATTCACTCGAAATCTTATTTATCCTATTGCCATCCAAGCTTTAATTTTTCTTTTTAAAATTCTTAATTCGGAAGGCCAAATGCATACAAAATTCCCATTTTAAATTGCATAAAATTTATTTAAAACAAAAATGATTTGGAATAAAAAAACTAATTTGTTTTTAATTTTTATATATAATACATAGAATTATTTTGTAAGAAAATCATTGAAGAAAGGTGAATATGCTTTGTTTTTATATTAAAAGCTACATTTCATATCATTATATGAATTATAAAATAACAATATCCAAACTCTAGTCGTTTTATTCTAATTTTATTATTTCAAATAAATATGAATTGCAAGCTTTGACTGAGGAACTAAGCAGATTATATTTTTCTGGACAGAAATTGAATATTTTTTCAAAAATATTAAAATCAAATTTGGGCATCAGTGGCAAATGGTTAAGGTGTTGACATGGTACTCTTCACTGTAATGTAAAGTCCCGAGTCCACGAATTTATTTTTAATGGGCTTATAAATGGGCTATTTTTCCCTCAAAAACATGGGCACCCTGAGAGTAACGTATGTATCTTCGCAGTAAAAATGCCCTCATTTGCAAAAAATAAATAATGGATAAAAAATAAATAAATAAAATGAAATGAATATTTCATCTTTGAAATATTTGATGATGTGGAATGTAGTGAAATATTCTTTTCGGTTTTGTTTGTCTCCATAAATTGTGGAGAGACAAAAAAAAATAAATAAAATAAAATAAAACAATCAAATTCAATACATATTGTGTTTGTAATTAAGTTACTATGTATTATTGTTGTTAATTTATATTAAATTCAAACTACAATATTTTCATACTTTATTATATATTTCTTTGCATGCACTATTATTCTTATGCATAGTTATCTTTCTCTTCTTCAAATAGTATTAAACCAATTTTTTTTTTCAACTGTAACACATTTATTTGGCACGGAATGCAACTCAGTATGTATAAAAAGCATAGTTACTTCTTGTCCTATTGAATGATGCCACTTTTATTAACTCTGCTACAACACTTGTGTATTATTTTATGAACTATTCTAACGAATGATTATCTATCTGTTTTGTTCTTGATGTTGTATTGATTCGCAATGAAAACACATATCACAAAACATTCCAGGGCCCATTTCTTAAATTCGAGGTCTAGAAATCCTTTGGTAGTTTCGTGTTCACCTTTTTGGACTTGAAATGTAAGTACAGAAATGTTTAATTGTGATTATAATTAGTTTTTGTTTTAGTAGATCTTTTGAACTGTTGTGAATAATTATTATGTAAGATAAAGGTTTGAGTAATTCAGTGATCTTTCAGCCTTTTAAATAATGATAACTGTCAAGGAAAAATCAAGCATTTTTAACCTTAACCTTTTTGGGACTGATTGTATTTCGAAGCGTTCACTTCAAATTGCTCTTACTCCTTTTGAGGTGCACCAATTTCGTTCAAAATTTGACAGTACATTCCTCAGATATTATAGTTTTCAACGGTATTAAGTAAAAGGAAAGAGGAAAAAGTTGTATTTCATTGAAAATTTATTTTTTACAATATAATAACTGAAAAATAAAATAAATACTGATTAATGATTTATTTAGCTCAACTGTGAACTTGTGTGTACATACACATGAGTACAGAGATGAAAATAAAATATAAGTAAGAACAACAAAAATATATTCTAAAAAGATTTTGAACGTAAAAGATGTAAAACTAAAACTGAGGTCACTTGACAGCCAAGAGGTAAAAAATCAAAAAGAGAATAATTTTTAGATAGTAGGAAAGGGGTAGGACATTCTTCCCAATGAGGTGGAGATATTGTGAATATATTGGATATTGTCCAGAAAAATGATAGTCATAATTTTGCAAGTGTGAGCGAGGGGCCAGAATGTGAAAAGAAAGGGGAGAAAAGAGTGGTTTGTTGATGATGAATATGGGAAAGAAGGGTGTAGGAGTTTTTTACCGTCGACGTGTCTGCTAAACATTGGATACAACCTCAGCCTAATAGATGCCGTGAGTGTCCAGCTAGAGCTTTAAAATGCAAAAGAAAAAAAATCTCTAGTCCTGAAAAGGTTAATGTTACAAAAGCTGTGATTAAAATTTTAATTAAAAAATAAAATAAAATAGTTACAATGTAATTGCAATATTTATTTAATGTTCACTTATTGAGTTTACTATAAGTATTGAGATTTAACGTTTGTAAATCTCGGTCTCTGGAATGTATTAAAAAAAAATTGTAAATATTTGAATGCACAAATTTATTTTTCTGGTGTGTGTAGTTACTTTCTATGCATGACACTTTTTTTTTAAATTTTACATTTTAATTTTTGAATAATTATTTTGTAGAATAAATCTCTTCTCAAGGTGATAAGGGAGGCGTTAACAATGACGACATTGGCTACTGATCAGCTTGAGTCGATCTGGAAAAGAAATAAAAAGTGCTAAAACGTTTTTTTAAATGTGTGTTCTGACGCTTCAGTTTGACAGTGTACTTCTAAGCGCTTTCTACTACTAAAAAACTTATGATATCACGTGCCTTTCGAAAAATGTGATAGATTTGTACCATGTGCATTTTCCTTTGTGCCGTTTAACTGTTTAGATATTTCTAATTTTATTATAAGGTGTAAATGAGACCAAAGATGCAAAAAGTTCAAAAGGGGCGAATCTTGCCGTTTGATTGATATTTAAATTTTTACTTTTTACCTATTGAAAAGTACTTTTTATACTAATTTGGTAAACACAATTTTTAAGGTTTACTAATTGAAAACAACATGTAACTTTTTTAAACATTATTTAAAAAAAAAAATCTCAAACTGTCAAGGTTTGTACTCTTTATAATTTAATCGATTTCAATAATTTTTATTGTGGTTTTCAATTGAGGTTTTAATTAAAAAACACACTGCTCAGCATAAATTTTAGTACTATTTTTTGTGACAATATATAATATATTTGAAGGAGCAACATAAAAAAATAAAATAATTTAATTTTGCTGTTATGTCTTTTTCATTATGTAATTAAAAAATAACTGATAAAAATTAATAATTTACAATTTTATTCTTGATTAAAGTAATGTTGTTTACAACTTTTATGACAATAAGGGTGAAGATGAATATTATCAGCATAGTTTGATTTTAATCAAGGATATTTAGTGTAAAAATATAATAATTTGACATTCCTTTTTATTTTAATGTCTTAATTTGGCTTAATTGGCCAGGAAAGCAATCAAATATAAGTGTGATACAATAAAAACCAAGACTAAAACAAAGTGTAAAAATTATGTGCCTTTATAAAGGAGTCTTTCAGGAATGATAAAACAGTGGTTTTTAGCATGTGGCATTTTTTTTATCAACGAAACAAGTCTCTAGTCAATAAAAATACGCAATGTTTTCTTTTCCAGTTCAGCTTTTTGTATTATTGAATAAGAGGTCAATGTCCTGTAGACTACATTGAAATAATGTGCCAAAATGTATAAACTGTATTTAGTTTTGTATTATCAAGTCATATTGTTAAAACGTGCCCTTGTGTTTAAGAGATAATTAAAAAACAAAACAAAAAACTAGTCAGATAGATTGTCTTTATGTATATATTTTTTTGTTCAAACACTTGTCCTCTGCAATAATTCTGGTATTTTTTAAAATTAAATTTGTTATGTTAATGACAAATTTTTTTTAAATGCAATATTTTGTAATTAAAAAACAAAAAACAGGGCACATTTATACAACTCTGCCTAAATTGTTATGTTTTTACTGTTAATTTGTATTTCTCAAATGAAGACTTTGTTCTGAGAGAATCATTAGGGTTTATTACTCATTTATTTTCTTGTTAATAAATTCAGTTCATTAATAAGTTTTTTGTATCGTTTATTCTTTGAACATTCATTATATTCTAGTAAAGGTTTGTATTGTAACAATTTTTACATTTTATCTGATCAAAGGCGTGAATTATCTTAAAAAGCAATGGATGGGCATTTTATATGATTACAAGAATTATTTTTTCTTGAGCTTACAGAATGTATTGTAAAAATGCCATCATTTATGACAAAATTGGACCAAATCTGCCTGTCAGCATCTTGCCATCTTCTGTGGTGAATCTGAACCAAACCACTAACAGACCAAAACTAATGTAGGCAAAATTAATCAAAACATGAAATATTGTGAGATTTCTCCATGTTGTCAGCGGACATGTTTCTGCATTTCACCTTATTCGCTGCAAAATTAGCTTGATACAAATAGATGAAAATAAAATAAACTTTATGCTTATCCCTCACCATCACTGAAGAAGTTGAAGTACAGTTAATTTGTTGTTTTTCTTAAACTTACCATGTCTGTTTCATTGTCTTAATATCCACTTTTTTTTTATAGATGTTCACTGGTAGTCTGTAAGTAGAAATGTTAGTAGTTACTATTATTGAACTGAAACTAGAATTAGACAATTTATGAAGAAAATATTTTTGATGTTTAATCATATTAAATTATTAGTGTTAAAGAGGTAGGTGTAATCTCAGAGCATTTTCAAATTTTGAGCATAGGGGATCTTTTATCACCTTTTCATTTAACTTAATGCTGCAGCAGGATGCTTGAGCTATTAAGACAAATCTGCAATACCTAATAATGAAGAGAATGATGACAAAGACAAAATTTCAACAGAGAATTAATGCTACAGATGTTTGCAAAAGGTCTTCATTTTAAAAAGCTTACATGGAAATGAAGTTGCTTCACTATTGAGGAAGGCATCATTTACTTAAGTAAGATGTTATCAATGTGTTGGAAAAGGTGTGAGTGCCAACATACTAAGAGCAAGAGATAAATTGTTTTTATTGGAGTTCGGAACAGCAGAGGTCATATCAACTACTGGGGTGTTGGTGTTTTTGAAAAAAGCCCATTTGTAAGTATTTGAGACCTTTTCCTTACAGTGATGAGTGCTGTGTCAATGCCTAAATGCGGCCTGTCAATGCCCTGATAAATAGATTATTAGAACAACGAAAAAGAAATTGTAAAGTGAGTAGTAAACGTTGCTACCTGATATAGCTGGGATGGTTGAGAAGGATATGTAGGCTCAAATAAGATGGCTGTAAGTTGATGAGGAAACCTTGTGTTAGCTGGATGAGAGATGCAGTGAAGTTAGAAGTGGAGGTGAATGCCTTCAATCAGTGAGCTTACACAAAGTTGCATTTTGTGTAATGTTAGGTCTCAAATGTTAGTTGGGAAATCAACTCTTTGAAGTCTGCTTGCAAAGATAATCAATAATTATGTAGATTGGTCGTTTCTGATAAATTTTACACAATTTGCATTTTGGTCTTTTGCCATCGAAGTAGTAAAAACCCTCCTTATGGTGTCAAAATTATGAAATGTGTCTGACGGACCAAGCAAAGTTCCGCAGGTCAAAGTGATCAAAAACGACGAAGTTCACCCTCAGGAATCATACAATAGTAAATAATATTGTTTAAATGCTAAATTAATCGCTACTAAACTATTTTTTTGTAAGTCATAAAAATAACTTCAGCATATAAGTTGTATAAACTTAGAAAGGATAGTAGGACAACATAAAAATGGATAAAGTAAGTTTGAAGGTGGTTGTCGATAATAATCAAGTTTACATTAATGTAATTATTATAACATTGAAAGAATAACAGTCTCATTTATGTTATCATAAATATTACATAATAGTAGATGAAAAATACATAAAGAAGTCAATTTTATATAAGGTGGCATGAAAAATATAAAAGATTTTCTTTTCCAGCATGAAAAGAGTGGTTATTTGCTGCAACAATAACAACGCCTGCCAGGTAAATAGTTAGACTTCTGGCTATTGAAGAAAATATATTAAAGGGAGCTCAAATAAAATCTTTATATTTCTGTCTTCGTATTTTTACTGTATAACAGTACTTCTATAAAAATTGAATCTATTAATATTAATTAAACTATCTTTTTAATAAAAATGTAAACAGTATAATAATATTATAATGATTTCTGTCGAGAGAAAAAACATTCTACAGCTCTAGCCATACGAACAACTTAAACCAAAGGTAAGTTCATATGGCTCAAGCTAAAGAATCCTCTTCAGATCCACCAAACCTGAACTATACTTAACAAATGATGTTTTTCCTGATCCATACAATTGTGTATAAAGTTCATCTATTCTCGAAGAACCAGTAGGGCTGTTTATTTACCTAAGAGCCTTTGACTTGAATCAGACGAACAATCTTACATCTCAAGCGAGTTCGTAAGACTCAAGCTGAAGGCCGTTAGGATATGTCGTCTTTCTTGAGTGCATGCTTCCTTTTCCCCCCTGTTTTTTTAACCAAACTGAAACAAAATATGGCACAATGTACAAGATAATAGACAAGTTTTAGTTAATTTTTTGTGTCTATTAGGTTTTGTGGTCCGATTGACCAAATATTTAATTGAAATTAATTCTTTATTTTTATTAAACATTTGATTGTGATTCTTAGATGGAGGACCTGAAAATAAAGGAAAACAATTAAAAAGAAAATTATAACAGCGAATTCCACTAGAACTGTAAAAGGGTTTAATAAAATGTGATTAGCGGCGCTGGTGGCCATAATGGTTTAGGCGCTGTCACAGTGCTCATTACTGTAAAATAAAGGTCCTGCATTCGAACCCGACAAACCAATGGGCTTTCAAAAACTGGCACCCAAGAGTTCTTATTAGTTGGGGGGGGGGGAATGTAAAAATAAAATAATCCATTATTAATAATCGATTAATTCATTTATGTAGTCTTACAATGAAAACTTTTTTTCAACAACGCATTAAAGTTTCTTGGAACAAAAAACATTTGTGCAGCCCAAAAGAAAAAAAACAAATTTTATTCTTTTTTGAAAATTTAAGAAAATATATGTAGATTAGACTAAATCTATGCAGATGAAACTATTTTAATAATGCTAATTTCCCTTCTAACATAAACTTTTCTAGAGCCATTAAGTCTGGTAAGCTTAACATTAAGATGAAGGCAAAGCTGTCAGAAAAAAAGACGATAATTACCTGTTGGCATATGCATTTTACAATATAATTTTTATTTGAAACAATCATGCAACACTTATAGGTTTAATTTAACTACATAGTGACAAAACTAACAAATGAAATAAATAAATAAAATAAATAATAAATAAAACTGTAATCAAGTGTTATAAACCTTGTTACCTAAATCATTTCTCCAATGTTGCAGAGTTCACATTTTTCAACTGCACCCCCATATAAGAGACAATGTATCATAGGTGATCTTAACTAATCAAAGCTCTGATGTGGAATGAAAAAGGCATATGAAGCGATGTTAAAATTCTTTTCAGCTCTGTTTGTTCAGTTGAACAAACGTTACAAGAAATAGGTCCGTTTTAGGAATTGAAAATTATCATTTGTATAAAGGCCAGTTTTAACCATTTTAATAAAATATTCCATAATGTTGCTTTCAAGCATGTGAAAATAATTAAAAAAGTAAAACAAATAAGTATAATTTTTCAACAAGCATTGAATTACACTTAGGATTTTTTACATTATTTTGTTCCAATAATGATAGAAATTAATAAACAAAGATTTTATTACCTCTTACCTTAATAAAATAAAGTTTCCAATTATCAACTTACTGTTTCCATGTCTGTTTGTATTGTTATATTATCAATTTTTTCTAAATTTTTTGTAGTGTCCTTTTGCTTATATTTTTTATTTTACATGGTGATTCACTACTCATATGACAAAGTTCTTAAGGTGCTTCTATACCGCAAACGCAACAAAAAAGGCCCGGTTCTCAACTCTTTTGCAGTTATCCAACATTTTATGCTTTTTCAACTGTTCACAGCTTTTGCCACAAATCTACTTTTCGCCCTTGAACCGTTGAAAAGAGCATTAAATTTCCTTTAAGAAGGCACTCTTCTTGAAGTTTAAACTTAATGTTAGTAAAAAAACAAACACTACATTTTTCAAAAACTACTAAATTTAAAATTTGTGTGGTGAAACAAAGCCCCCTTGGCCAATTTCTTTTCTTTTATTTCAATTTCTTCATTTATTAAGCTTTCTAGTGGTATACCATTTTCATTAATTACATCGAAAAAAATGTAGAGATTTTGTGCTAAATGGGAAAAAGGTGGGATGGTGAGCAAAAGTGGGAATGGGGTAAATCTAGTAATTCAAATTTCTGTCTTGGTAAAAATTTATTTTCCAACTTTCACTTAATAAAAAAACAAAAAGAAAGAAAAAATCCACTTTAAAATCAAACAAAACAAATAAAAAAAGAGACAATAAACACAATGAACAACCAAATTACGTGGAATTTTTCTTTTTTCAAGAGCTGTAAAACCCAACTTTAGCTTAATAAAAAGAAACAAAAATTTAATGTAAAAATCCAACAAAATTAATATAAAAAAAGAGGCAATAAACATAGTGAACAAACAAATTACTTGGAATATTCTTTCTTACACAACTTCTTTATTGTTGTTCTTTTTTACTTTTCTTTTGTCTGTATTTAGTGTAGTCGAATTTGTCCAATTTTTCTGCTTTGGTTGCTCTCTATGTTTATTATCTCTTTTTTATGTGTTTTGTTTAGTTTTTCTTTCTTTTTGTGCTTTTTTATTAAGTTAAAGTTAGGAAATAAATTTGGCCTAGGGCAAAAAGTTGAATTATTTTATTTATAATTACTTAATTACACCATTTGCCCTTTTTCACACCATCACCATCCTTGTCTCATTTAGCATAGAATTTAAGTATAATGCTAGAAAACTTATCAAACAAAGAAGTCATGAAATTTGCCAAGCTCTACTGTGAATTTTTCCAATGGGGCTGCAAATTTAGTTTTTGGTAGACATTTTAAATTTAGCAGTTTTTGAAAGATTTTTTATCAATTTTTGTTATAATTCTCTAAAAATGATAGTTCAAGTGCTATGAGTAGATTAGTGACAAAAACTGTAGATAGCTGAAAAAACAAAATGTTGAATATCTGTGAAAAGTTGAGAATTGGGCCATTGCTTTTTGAGGATTTGAGGTGTAGAAGCAGATGAACTTTGATGCTCAAGTAGTAAATTACCCTTATACAAATTAATAAGTTACTTTGTTTGATGCACTTAATTTCTCTTTGTATCTCCTAGGCTTTGTGTGATATTTCTTATTACTCCTTCAATTAGTTTGTGAAATGGCTAATGCTAGTGTACTTGGCTTTTTATTCTCTGCTTCATTAATTTACAAAGTTTATTTCAGATTTTGTTCAATTTACGATTAATTTTTATTTTATTAATGTTAGCTTTTTAGGTTTTTGACAATTTTGAAGTGTATTGTTTTTCATAATGAAATAATGTTCCTTCCATTCTATGACAAATTTTCCATTTGAACAATTTATTTCAACAATTTATTTATTTTTTATTGTATTTTAAAGTTAATTAAAGCGTAATTTAATATTGAATGCAATTACATGATGTTCAGTGTTTTATAGTCGATTTAGAAAACTTTTGTTTTTTTAAGCCACATACCAACTGTTCAACTGAACACACTTGTGTTTGTACAGCACACCTATGATCATTCAGCTTGCTTCACAGTGCATTAAAGGAATTTCATGTAAAACCTATATTAGAGCAATTGGTTTTCAGACGAACAGTTGAATAAGGGCTGAGGGTTCCATGAATTTTGACTTCAAATACTTTTCTTGGTTTAATTATATGTTATATAAGAAATTTGAAACGGTGACAATTAGTGAAAATTTTGCATGGTTCAATTCATTATACAGGTAGACGCCAAGGAGTTTTAAAGGCTCCTCATCTTTTGTCCTAAGAGTTTCCATGACTTAGAAGTTACTATTCAAGTTGTCATTTTGTCATTTACATATGTGATTTTTGATAATCTCTGGTCATCATGGTCTGACTTTTGGTTTCATCTGTCAGACACGTCCCATAATTAGTTGGACTGTGTGTTATTTTGTCATTTTGGTCCATTTATGCATGACGTTAAATGTATTCATTGCAATAATCAATCTAGTCAATAAATTAGGTGTTGACAACTTATAAAAAGGACTTTTTTTTTCTTCCTTTGGGTCTTATCGCAGATATCCGCCCAAAGGTCATACAGGTGGCGGAATCAGAAAACCAGAAAAAAGAGCACACCGGGCCCATGCCCCACCAAAGCCAGCCCGCCACGAGAGGGGAAGGGAAACCCTTATCACTTTATGTCAATTTCTACTTATACTTTGACCAACTCGGGGATGTGGATAAAAACCATTTACATCAAAATCAACATGGAAAACGACATTTGAAAAATGGCAAAAAGGAGGGAAAACTCATAAGGTGGGGTTGAGATAGGAAGTTGATGTCCGAGTGGATCGAGGTCACGCTAGCTCAAGTGGTAGAGCAGCGGCGTATCTAGCCGAAGATCGTGGGTTCGAATCCCGCTCATGCCATTAACTTTTTTCATCTCAACTAAAAACCTTAATTAATTGTAATGTGTTGTAATGTTACAAATCGAGCAAGAGAGCAGCACTCAAGAAGAATTTCATCGATTCCTACAACTTCACGATCAAAAGTGTCATGATGCTCAAATGGTTCATTAATTATTGCCTGTCCTCCATATATTCTCATGAAGTCAGACGATATGTTAGTCAACGTACCAATCTGTCTAGGATCTAGAAAACACCAACTACACCGTTTCTTAGTTGGCTCTCTTATTTGCTATGCAAAACCAAGTTTAGACGTTAATGATATAGTTTGTATAGACGTATAGTTCGAGGTATATGTACAGAAAGCTAAAAATTGAAATGTTTTCTGAAAAATAAATACTGAACAAGGTCTTGAAGCAAACTTCCCGACAATATTTCACTTGTGTATTAATTTAAGAAAAATCATTCGAATCCTTTAAGAAAAACTATATACAGTTGACTTGATAACTTGTTTTTGCGTTTTGTTAAACGCCTTTTACTTTTGTTTTCAGATCCGCTCTGAAATATTAATATTTATTTAATCACTTGTTTTTATGAGACCACAAAAGGTTTGAATTAACCTTGGACCCTAGTATTTAAACGCGAAGTTCCGTGTTAAAATTGGTTTCTTAAGCATGGTCCCAATGCTTGAGGGCATGCGAAAACCCGCCTTTATCTTCGCTATTCATTGCCACTCACGAAAGGCGTAAAATTATCTTGAAAAAATGTAAATCTTGAAAAAGTGCCTAATCGGCAGTTTCTCAAAATTCGTCACAACAGCCTTTGATTGTGCACGGAAGTGAGGGAACGGTCATTGAAAATAAGACGTAGATTTTCCTTCTTCGTTGAGACGCGTTTTAAAATGTCTGTCACAACTGGGTCATAGTGTTTCCAATCAATCAAGGTCTACAACGGCATTAATCAAGCTTTAAGACCAGACAACAATAATCTGCTATTCTATAGAGCATGATCGATTCCTGAGTTAATAAGGAAGAAAATATTTTAACCCTTTCCACTTATATCCTTCAACAGATTGCCTATTTTTAACACAATTACTTCTTGAAAAAAAGAACAAAGATAATAAAAATTATTGACAGCTTTTCCAATTTTACTTCAAAAACAATCAGCTAAGGGTCCAACACACAGCAGAAATGCAGTAAAAAATAATTAAATAACAATGAAAATATTGATTATTTGGAGATCGTGAGATGCGGTCTGGTGTGTCGTAGGTTTTAGAAAAACATTTTCTTTATCGTCCCGACGTTTCGATCTTTATTGAGATCATCTTGAGGGCTCTCTGTTGAGAGTGCCTACACGACACAGAACAATGACACATCTACTCGGAAAACAAACACTTTGAGCCCTGAAGATGATCTCAATAAAAATCGAAACGTTGAGACGATAAAGAAAATGTTTTTCTAAAACCTACGACACACCAGACCGCATCCCAAGATCTCCAAATAATCATTAACTAACGGTCTCTAAACACCACACATTTCTAAATGAAAATAATCTTCACCAACAGAAGATGGCTAGAGATGGCCCTTATTAAATTCAAAACTTTAAACAGTATTTTAACTAATTATTAAAAAAAATTGTTTTATGTAGATACAATAAAAGAGATTCTTGCGATTCTAGGAAAAACTGAAAAAAAACTTAATCTGATCGATGCTTTATTACAAGACAGTTGTTGAAGTCTGCAGTTTTTCTCATAACTTTTCTTAGCCTTTCCTTACTTTTTATCGCTCGAGACGAGTTATTCGTTAACTTTGAACCACAATTGGCCCTTGGCACGAGAAAAATGAGCAATTTCATTATATGTTACATGCATATCTGACGTTACGTTTTATTCACAGTCGGTTGTAATTATGTTAATAATAATTACAACATGCATGTAAACGGAATGCAAACGGAACGACGCAAATGTGGCCCAACTTTAACACGCTCATTGTACAAATACCCCTAATATTTT